TCTTACAGTTTTGATGAGATGGGATTTCTAATACATTGAAAAATTATAGCCAGGTCCTCCTATCTCTTGTTCATGGCAGTTGGTTCATTTTGAAACCAAGACCTTAGAATGAAGTGGTTTTATTTAAAATTTCACACACGAAGCTTAGAGTCTACTCTAACCTTTGGGAGGGCTATATTTTTTTTCCCTTGAGTGAATGAGTTAGCTTTTGGAGTTTTATTTTGTTACTAACAAATTAGTAAGTTCCTAAATCCTCATCTCATGAGTCATTAAGTGAAAATCAGTTCTGCAGAATAGTTCTTGTGGAGTGGACACACAAAACAGGGTCCTATGGGTAAAGATAAGATGGAATTGCTATTTTTTTTTCTTCACATGATATAAAAGATACTGAAAATGAAATTGTATTCAGTGTTTGGATGTGCCATGGCTAAAAGCCATTCTTGTTATTGTTATTTCATTAAAAATCTCAGGGTCCCTTACAGGATGGGATGAGTTTTTAAGCTTAGTTCTATTGAGTCACTTAATGGTGGATTTCATGGAGGCAAACAGTGGTTCATAAGATGCTTTCAAAGCTGTCCTGTGGTCAGATATTAATGTGGATGATAATACATCTGTTACAAAAATCTTGGGGAAGGTTCTTTCAGTCTCTCTGGGTTAGACCTAGAGTAGTCTCAGATAAGATTCTATGATTCAGTTCAGGGGACTCCCACAATGTCCTCCTCTATAGCAGAAAGCATTCTTAATTTCATTGCATCGAAAATGGCATTGATTATAAGATACATCCCAGTTAAACTATGAGAAAATGTTACAGAATTCATGAAATACTGGCAAGTTCTTCTGCTAAACCTTCTGTTAAACCTTTATATTCCCGGTTTTCCCAAATGAATTTCATGTTCTCTCTCTTCTTGCCCGGAATGAGTTTTGTAATGTGACTATATGTTTCCTGAATTTTCTCAGTGTGTCATTTACTCCAGGTGTATGAAATTCAACTTTTATTAGAGCAAGTTACCTTGTAACATAATGCTGGTACCTTTTTCTTTTTTTCAGGCTGACACCAACAAAGATCGTATTGATGTTGCCAATGCTAGAGCAAAGAAACTCATTGACAGCTAAAGCTGCTGCTGTACTTCTTTATCGTGTATTCACTTCTCTAGCTCCTCCTTCAAAGTCATTATCTTTTCAGAGTTTGACGTTTTGGTTCCACACTCTTCTAAATCAGGAGATAATGTGCAAGAAGGCCAGGAGTACAGACCCCCTATTCTTTTACGTTCTCTTTCCCTTGAGGGTACACTACTGCTCAGCCTTCCTTCTAGTACCTTTTTTTTTTCTCGGTCCATAGTCTTAGATTGGTTTTTGTACATCATATATAGTGTTATTTTTCATCCTCCTCATTTACTTTAGCAGGTTCTTTTGCTTTCAAGATTTGGAAGCATTGCCAAAGACAGCCATGAAGAAGGAAGCTGGAGGCAGGGGGAGCACAAGGAGGAGAGGCGAGAGAGAAGAGGTTGTTACCGCAGTAAAACCTGCAGGCCACAAAGCAAAAGTTGCATAGCCAGAGTAAAGATCTAGTTGGGTTTAATTTTTCATTTAAGTTGCAGTTATTGCCAATTTAGGCTAATACTTGGTTTTGGAGCTTTTATACACAATATTTTTGTTAATCATCACAACTTGGCAACCTCGGCTCCAAAAAAATAGAATGACTTTTCTCAAAGTGGGCTTAGTTTCTGAACATTTGGTGATTTGTGTATGTACATAGACAGTGATCCCATTTCATTCTGCACCATACAGGAACACTTTGTATAAATGAATGACTTTTTATTTTCACATTATTAGTAGTATTATGGTCCCATTACATGCCTATTAACCTCTTAAATTTGTCATTAGTCTTTGAAGAAAAAAATATGTAAATATGTATGTGTAACATGAGCATTTCTCTCTAAAGCAGGGCTTAAAATTTTTTGGAAAAGTTTGACAAAGTATATTACGTGAATTCAGATTTACCTCAATGTCAAGAATTATGTTTAGATGGGGAAAAAGAAACTTGTTTTGATCTCAGGTAGAAAAATAGATTGCTTTGAGTTTTTTGTAGCTTTAGACCTTAAAAAAGCTAGAATTTATTCTGTTTAAAAGTGATTTGGAAAATTATGCCTTTGGTTTAATTATTGATGATTGCACTATCATTCAATTAGCCTTGTAGATTGAATTATGTCCAGAATCACGTTTATTTAGATCCTGAACAGTGTTATAAGAATCTGATTGGTATTTGTCACCTTTATTTAAGAACTAGTGTCTGCACACTTCAAAGCTATTAATGTGGATTGGTTTGACCGATAACCACTGCTTGCTCTTTACAATTAAATTTTATAACTAACTGGTGGAATTGTTCTTTCAAATAGGTAATGTGTTTCTGTGACTATTTGGCAAGGGTTGGGGGCAATAATTTCATCAGCTCTTAAATTGAATAAAGCAAAGGTCCATAAATCAAGAAGCACTCTGATGGAAAGCTGCCTTCAGCACCTTTCCCATTTTTTATCAGAAGTACTGACAGGACTTTTCTTCCTACGATTTGTCATGAGGTTCATTGTAATTATTATTAGTTTCTTACTCATTTGAGCTTTAATACACTAATGATTGAAAGGATGTTTATGCACTAGAACTACAACCCACTTACTGAAGATACTGTTAACATGAGGACTTTCAAAGGCCTTAGTGGAAAATATTTAGAGTGAGATTCAATCAGGCCCTCTGGAATAGAAATGCTGCATGCCAAAAGGAGTAGTTTGGTAGGTGGTGGTAAATGTGTAAAGAGAGAAAGTACAAAACATTGGGGATTATGCTATACCTAAATGCCCTTGCTTAGAACATTAAAAAAATTTTTTATCTTATGGCTAAAGGTAATAGTTCTGAGGATACCAAAATGCTGCCCCCACATTATAATTGGTTAGAAGTATAAGCTAAGGCACTCAACTATCTGCATTTACACTCTTCCACTTGCTGAGACTGTAAGCCCATTTCTGTGCCTCAGTTTTCTTGTCTGTAAATGGGGATTAATAATTCCTCCTCCATAGAGTTGTCACGAAAAGTCAGTGTGGTGATGCCATGTAAAGAACTGAGAGCAGCACCCAATAAATGTAAGAGCTTAATAAATTATAGTTGCTATTCTTTCTTGGGTGGAGCTTTTTGGGTCAAGAATCCATTTGTGAATCTGATGAAAGACAACATAGCCTATCTCCCCAGAGAAATAGATACTAACACAAACATGAATCACGCATAAGAATCACGCATCAGTGGATCTTGAAAGCAAATCCATGGATCCCAGGTTACAAACTCTGCCAAAGCTTCTCCTACTAAGAAAGGAGAGGGATGAGGCCATAGAAGTTAGGTCCATAATGCACTAGAAATACAAGCTGTTGACTTAAAGCCTTTTCTGATTTTCTCTCGTTAACATTGTCTGGAAACTTGTTTCCATTACTTTTGAAAGGTAGTAACTGAAAGTGATTAACACAAGCTCTAGAGTCTGACCACCTGGTTTCAAATTTTGCTTTAGTCATTTACTTGTTGTATGATCTTGAGCATAACACTAACCTATAACTAAGGAGTTCAAAATAATCACCCTGAATTTAATTTTTTAACGGTAAGCTCCTTCTTCAAGTTTCCAGTCTTATAATGACAATGGTATTTATCACCAATAGTTATGCCTGTTTCTTTCTTCCTTCACAATTCCTTCATCCTTGTGGGGTTTTTAAAATATTTTTTATTTATTTATTTGTCAGAAAGAATGAGAGCACAAGCAGGGAGGAGCAGCAGGCAGAAGGAGAAGCAGGCTCCCTGGGAGCCCGATGTGGGACTCGATCCCAGGACCCTGGGATCACGACCTGAGCCAAAGGCAGACACTTAACCAACTGAGCCACCCAGGCGTCCCTTCCTTCATCCTTGTTACCACACTTTAGATCTTTTCATGTCATGTGTGAATTATGAATCTCCTCTTAACCCAGCCATTTTATACTCAATTGCACTTAGAATTAGTTTCCTTAAATGTTACTTTCTTTAGGTCACTGTCTTATCAAAATTCCAGGTTATCCCAATTACATTCCTAATCAGATTTGTATTTCTCAGATAGATGATATTCAAGTTCCTTACTCTCTAGTCATTTGTTTTCATCCTTTTTAATGTAGTATTTGCTCCAAGCCTTCTGTTTTTATAATGATTTGCTAACTTCTATTTTAATGCTTTACAGGTGAAATAAATGGCACCATTTATTGATTGCTTACTCTATTGTGGGCACCCTGCTAAAATGCCTTTATGTATCTTTTTACCATATCCTCATAACAAATCTGAAAGGTTGGAGGTATTCACCATATTACAGATGAGCATAAATTGCTCAGATTCACAAAGCTAGTAAATGACAGACTGTGTATTCAAACCAGGATCTTTCTGACTCCAAGGCCCATGAGCTTAATATACTACACTGACTTCCAACCAAGCTCTAAAAGAATGTGGGGACTTAGGGCTGGTGGCCAAACTAGAATATGGGTCTCCAGACCACACACAAGTTAACCAACTTTGTTATGTTAGCTCATAGGCAAGTCTAAATACTTGTGTGTTATAAATCTGGGCATGTTACTTTACATAGTTCCTGCGCACAAGTAGCTCATTCTAGCAAGAAACAGATGAATATAGAATGTGAGAAGTGCTATCATAACAGATGGGGGAGCAATTAATTTGGCTTAGACTTAAAATGGGTTTTAGATAGATGGAGCACATTAGTGAGAGAAGACATTCCTGACTGAGCAAACAATGTAAAGGCAGTTACAGGGGAGACACTGCACTGTGGATTTAAGGAGCAGAATAATCTGGTATGACTGGGCAGGTTAAATAAGAGTGAAGAAAGGGTATCTGGAAATAAGGCTAGGTACAAGTGTGAAAGCTAGCAGTCACTGATTCTCAGAGATGGGGGATATTTTTAACTCCAATTAATTAAATGTCTGGGGACATTTAAGTTGTTTACTTTAGAAGCTCTGATTTATTAGATGTTAAGCACTGATAAAAAATCTAGAGAAACATTGTTTAGTAGACGAAAAAGATTAAGCATTGAAGTTTACAAAAAGCAAAACTCAGTTGCTAACAATAAACTGGCAGCCCATCCCTCCCCATGTTGAGAAACAGAAAATAACATGGGAAATAGAGAATATGGATCAGATTTAGAATACGGATCAGACTTAAAGTCAGAAAGACTTCCTCATATAAACACTAAGCTGTTGTGATCTACTGACTTAATGGTTAAACTAGGTTTATAAAACAAGAACTGACAATACATGCTAAATTGCCTTGCCAAAGGCAAAACCTCAGAATATTTGAGAGTGGTAGTTTCCGAAATGTTCATGTCAGTAACAACCTGACATCATCTACCTTTGTACTTTCAGTTTCTCTTAATAAGCATGGTTTTAGTACTGCAAAATGCTTATCAGTCACATGAAGGCATTTCAGTACTCCTGCACCTTATGAAACATTTCTTTCTAATCAGTTTACTTTCAAACAAAGGGCCACATACAGGTTAAAGTTCTCCTGTCTTCTTCCTTTGAGGATCAGCACTTTTTCCAGCCGAAGTTCATTAAAAATTCTTTATTTAGTATATTCTCTCATCCAGAGAATAAACTTTATAAACATAGGCTATTTTAAAATATTGTAGGAGATTTTTGATAGGTAATTTGATTAGTAGAATTATAAACACAAAAAGGGAAAAGGATTACCAGAAATAAGACATTATTTCTAACAAAGCTTCAGGAAAATCTTGATTACAACCCTTTGTATCTTACAAATTTTGCATATATGGTTTTAGCTCTTCAGAGCCCTCTACCAGTAAGGCACATGCAATAGTAAAAAATTTGCTACTGCAGCCTTGGGGAACATCTCTTAGTGTGTTGGTGCTTCTCTGACAAAATATACTTTTAATCAAGACAGTGACATATTTATGTACATTCTAAATTCCAAGTATACACACTGCGATTGAACTGATGGACTGAAATAAAATCATAAATCCTAGATTAACCATAGTAGCCTCTCACAAACTATATTTCATAAAAATATGAAATGTTAACACAGGTGGAATGGCAACTGACTTTATGAAAGTTCATACACTGAAACTAAACATGAAATTTCAAGCTGTGATACGGAGTGATTCTGTGACCAAGCAGCATCCCCTCATTGTATAAATAACAATGCGCTACTGTTTTTCTTAAAGCCAGACTAATGGAGGTTTTGATGATCAACACTGTCCTTTACCCTTATCCATGACTCAAAATGGAGGACTCTTACTGTCCCTTGATTTTTTAGCTTGCTTAAGACGAGCCCTGGAAAGGGAAAAGATCATTGAAATATCTGCGGGAGTATCATCTCCTTACTGCAGATAATCCTTGACAACAACAGGACCTTTTGATTCAGCCAGATTGCAAGAGATTCCATGTCAGTGTTCTGCAAGGTTCCCGTGCTCCTGGAGAACATCATGCAAACTTCTTCTTAGTGGCTGTGAACCTCTCCATGTACTAAAAATCATAAAAGAAGAATATGTGGTATTTTGGCACAAGCAAATATTAGCCTATTTTTTTTATTAGGATTTTATGATTTTTTTTTCATTTAGATTTTTATTGGATATGGTCTTTTTCATTTCCTTAAAAATCGACCTATTCTAAATGCAGATTTAAAGCACATAGCTTTGGGGTTTTTCCCTTATATTTTAATAAGAGACCCATCAAAAGACAAAATGCTTTACAATAAGCTACCTGGAGGAAAAGTTACCTTGGCACAATACCATTTGGCTAATTTTTAGAATCCACCTCCAAAATAGGGAACAAATCCTGTTGACATAAACAGGATTATGCATACATCCTGTAGCTATAAATGTTTATGTGGGTTACTTCACCATTATCTCTGGAACAATGATGAAGTACACTAATACATACCTTATCATATCCTTCCAGTTCTCGAAGTTTCTTTATTTCAAAAAGGTTGCCTTCCACAGCAAGCAGACAGATCTGGGAATCACTGAGAATGCTCTGTGGAAGCATGCTGAGCTCAAGACAGTTCTCTTCCAGGCGAAGAACTTTAAGGCGAGGACAGCAAGATATCTTTACTGAGATCTGAGATATCTATTGAACAACAAAAAAGAATCATAGGAAAAAGTAAAAGCACTACTATAATGTTTTTTGTGTGGTTTTTTTTTTTTACTAAATTAAAACAAAAACTTGACCATTTGTCCTAGTTCTTTCTTTTACCGCCTCCATTTTCTCACCACCTACCCACTTCCAAAGCCTATGCTATCTAGCTTCTGTTACTCCTCCACTTTTTGGAAAAAGATGCTGTTTGAAGGTTACTGGTGGCTTTTTAGAAACAGAAGTGTCCTAATAAAAGCACTGTTCATTACAGAAAATTTGAGCATCACATAAGTTTAAAGAAAAAAGTTACCTCTTATCTACCACCATAAACATTTTGGTGCATTTACATTTACTGCCAATCTTTTATGTGTACATAGATGCTGACCGCCATACTGCCAAAGTCAAGGATTCACTGTCCTCATTCCCTATTGGATTTGACTATCATCTACCACTTTTTTGAAACTCCTTGTACCTAAATATTGGACTTTTCTTCTTTTGAATTATTGCTGATTTTTGGCTCCCCCGCCCCCTTGTTTCTATAGACATTTTCAAGCAGCAGTCTCTAATATTGGATCTTCTTTCTAAACTTCCTCCTAAAAAGCTCATCCTTTCTTAAAGCTATCAGTTAAGACCTGAAAATCTGTATCTATATTCATATCTACTCATGTCTATTCCACTCTCATGTCTCCAATTTTTAATAAAACATTTCTGTTGGGATGAGTCACCATCATAATTGACTCAGTTTGTCCACTCAGTAGCACCACTCTTTTAGGCCCTTGAACAATTATCTTTGATTCATTCACTTCTTTTGCCCTTTAAATGCTCCACGTCACCAAATTATATTTACTCTACCTGGTATCATTTCAGACCATCACCTGGGAACTTGTTAGAAATATAAATTCTCAGGGGCGCCTGGGTGGCTCAGTCGGTTCAGTGTCCGACTTTTGATTTCGGCTCCGGTCATGATCTTAGGGTTGTGATATGGAGCCCCACCTTGGACTCCACCTTCATCCAGGAGTCTTCTTGAGATCCTCTCCCTCTGCCCCTCCCCATGCTTGTGTGTGCACGTGCACGCACTCTCTCTAAAATAAAAATCTTGTAATTTTTTTTAAAGATTTTATTTGTCAGAGAGAGCACTCATGTGCACAAGCAGGGGGAGGGACAGGCAGAGGGAGAAGCAGGCTCCACTGAGCAAGGAGCCCGATGGGGGACTTGATCCCAGGGCCCTTGGGATCATGACCTGAGCAGAAGGCAGACCCTTAAGAAACTGAGCCACCCAGGCATCCCAATAAAAACCTTAAAAAATGTAAATTCTCCCCCTGAAACAAATAATACATTATATGTTAATAAAAAAATTTTAGGGGCACCTGAGTGGCTCAGTCGGTTAAGCGTCTGCCTTCAGCTCAGGTCATGATCCCAGGGCCCTGGGATTGAGCCCCGCATCAGGCTCACTGCTCAGCGGAGAGCCTGCTTCTCCCTCTCCCTCTGCCTGCCACTCTATCTGTGCTCTCTCTGTCAAATAAATAAAATCTTTAAAAAATAATAAAAAATAAAAAAAATTTTAAAAAAAGTAAATTCTCAGACCCCATTCCAGACCTACTCAATCGCAAACACGGAGGGTAGGGGCCCAGTGATCTCTTCACAAGCTCTTCTGGTTAATGTGGTCCACGCTAAAATCAGAACCAGTGATTATAGGGCAGCAGCCTAGGTGAATGGGGTGAGTGTGCAGCTAGTATTTCTCGAACAATGTTTTCCCAGAAGTTTTTTTCAAATATTCACATTTTTTTTCCCCAAAAGCTCAACATACAAGAATATCCACTTTCATGGAAAAGGTGAGGCAATCTACTCAAGACAGACTGAATTTTATCATAATGTAAGATTACTACAATCTAGAACAGTTTTATACAATAAAACTTGGCAGTGATTGAAATCTATATCTTTGTGGTTCAATATGGTTGCCACATCCGGCTTTTGAGCACTTGAAATATAGCTAGTGGCAACAGAGGAACTTAATTTTTAAATCTAATTTATTATTATTTTTAAAGATTTTATTTATTTATTTGAGAGAGAGGGAATGAGAGAGAGCATGAGAAGGAGGAAGGTCAGAGGGAGAAGCAGACTCCCTGCTGAGCAGGGAGCCCGATGCGGGACTCGATCCCAGGACTCCAGGATCATGACCTGAGCCGAAGGCAGTCGCTTAACCAACTGAGCCACCCAGGCGCCCATATTTTTTAAGATTTTATTTATTAAATGAATTTTAACAGCCATATGTGGCTATTGTATTGGACCGTGCAAATCTAGAACTGTAGGCACTAAAAAATTAAAGGCCACCTAGTCTCACTATGTTTAATGTTTCATCATTTAAGCCTTATGTCTAGACCAAGGATTATTTCTCCAGTCAGATACATATTAACCAGAGCTTCCAAAGTAATGGAAAAAAATTTCAAATATTTCAGTTAAAGCTGTCCAACAATGAAATGGGCCAGAAAGCCTGTCAGTTATGAATTTTCAGTATAAGCAGGACACACTTGACAAAGATGTCAAAAAAGGGACAATGAATTATCTCTTGTCCAACTCCAAGAACCTATGAGTTAAAGCCTCTTTTCCACTCCACCCGACATAGCTCCTTGCTAGGTGATTAGAGGCATATTTGTGGAGGATCTGAATTCTCCAAGATTTGTGAGACAGTTTAACTTTTGAAATTATCTCACCCCATTACGCATCCCACTCTCCTAAAAACACCTATGCAACACACAAACACGCAGTGTCTCAACTAATTCCATAGCACTTTTAGCTTTGAAATTAGTCCAGCCCATGGACTATACTGCTCATCTAGCCTGATACCCAGCTCCATGACTACAGTTTAGAAAAGAATGGATTAAACAGGAGACTGTAAATCCACATGATGTAGGAAAAAAACCCTTAAGCTCTAGACCTGGTTCTGGTTGAGATTGAGTTCGATGACCTGCAGCTCCCCCACTGAGTCAGGTATGCTCCGAATCTGGTTCTTGGAGAGATCCACCACATCCAAGTGCCGTAGGCTACAGAGCTGTGGTGGTAGTGCTCGTAGCTGGTTCCCAGAGAGGCTCAGGGTCTTGAGGGCTGCCAGTTGCCCAAAGGTAGATGGTAACTCTCTCAAGTGATTGTTGTTTAGGCTTAGCATCTCTAGTTTTTTCAGATTGCATAACTCCTCAGGAAGAATAGCTGGCAAAGAAAAAAATTAAAAACCTGAATCTGATACAGCTGAGACATACCTTAGACAAAGTTTAGAAAAACTATATGGCCACCTTATATGCCTCCTACTGATAACACATAAAATTCCCACATGTGCCATTTTTAAGTGTTGCATTTTACCAACATAGTCTTCAGAAAGTGAGGGTGCCATCAAAATACAGGAAAGTATTTATGTGTATATTGGGCTCCTTTTGTAAAAGGACCTCTGCAGAATCCGACAGCAATTTTGTGGCATTTGTTAGGCCCTCCCCATCCCATTCCATCCCCCTTTCTAAATTGGCAGCAAAGTTAGCTCTGTTTACATTACATCCCAAAGATGGTCTTTCCTTTCAAGTCCAAATTAAGCCAGTACCAATCATTACACCACCAGAGGAGGCGGGTAGATGTAATTACAAGAGATAGCTTCAAGGACTCTGATATCCTCCTGCGTCTTGAGCTCTCAGTACGGTTTCATAACAACAACAAAAATCAGCTTGTAAGAGAAAACCACCCTTCTTAACAGCTGATCACTAGCAAAAGCTTCCCAGGCGCAAAAGCCATACTCAGTTTGTTGTTGTTCAAGGAGAGGCTCTTCAGCAGAGTGAACTTTCCTATAATCATAGGCGGTAGGCTCTCGATCTTGTTGTTGGACAGGTCGATGGTCCTTAGATTGCTGGTCAGCTTCTGCAACTCTGAGGGGAACTGGAGAAAGGGGTTCACAGCGCGGAGAATTCCTCACCGATTAACTTCACCACCCCCGCCGTCCCTCTCCCTTTAATTTCCCTGGTCGGTCCCCTCCCAGTCTCACCTCGGTCAGCCCACGGTCCTTAAGCTGAAAGACACCAGTTTTCTGCGCGGTTTCCACATGAGCGCGGAGGGCACTGTTTCCCATCCTAGGGCCGCGGCTCAGGTCCCTGCAGGAAGGAAGCGCAGCTGTCACCACTCAGTCCAGGCATCCAGCCATCCCATCCGCCTCTCGGCTGGGTCTCGTGCCCAAGCTGTCACCTCCTGCCGACGCCCAGATCTTGGGGACCAACTAAAAGTCGCAAGGAAGAAAGGGAAGAACAACCAGACCACCAGGGCCAACAGCTTTTACAGCTGTTCCGAGGCCTGACGCCGCTGGAGCCTACGAACAATCAGGGAGCGCCGGACTCGTCTCCTACCCCTCAGCTCACAGCCGGCTAAGCAAGGGAAAAGCCGCTGCCCGCTCTCTCCCGGGATGCGCTCCCCGGGCTTCCGCCCGGGCTGAAACGCCCTGTGACGTCATCGATCCGCGCCGCGCGTTCTCCGTACTTTACACTCACTTTTCGCGCCAGCCGGGGAGGTGGGTCCCAGCCATGGCTGCTGCGAACCCTTGGGATCCCGCGTCCGCGCCAACTGCTGCCGGGCTGCTGCTGGATCATTTTGTAGCTTCGGGGATGGTCACTCAGGTGCGTGGGCGGCGATGGCGTCATTAAGGGGGTGCCGGCGGTGGCGACAGAAGATGGCTGTGAGGTGGTGGTGCTGGGTGGGGGCTGTGCCGGAGTAGAGGCAGGTGGAGGCCCTTCCAGGCAACAGTAGCGACGGTTCTGCAGTGGTTGTGCAAAGCGGGGCTCTGAGCAGACGAGTTTCAGGTGTCTGCGGGCGAGTTATCCTGGGTCAGTTCGTGAGAGATAATAAAGATCAGTCTTCCCCCGCTTTTTTCTCACCCAGTGATACCGCCTGTATATTGTAATGCGTGCGGGGTTGGCAAATACGGGTAAGTGTTAAAACACAAACGTTGCCAAACAACTCTTGTTTGTGTGAGGTATTGAAGCATATTTGGGGCGGGAGACGCTGGGTACAGGAGAGCGTCAGGGGAAGCATGCAACTTTAAAGGCAAAAAATAAAGAAATTTTTTAAAATGTTGAGAAAGACCCGAAAGACCTTGGAACGTGAATGCAGGAGGGGAGTAATTATCAGAGAAGAGGCAGATTAGTCCCAGCGGTTGTAGTTTTAGGAGAAATTAAAGATATGAGAGAATAATGGAATCCAAGTGACAAGGGAATGGGGAAAGTGAGATGGAGGGAAAGAAATTTTGAGATAACGAGCAAGTTGAGGATTTTCGCTAAAAAGGAAACGGAGAAGTAGAAAGGTAAAATCATACGGAGAGATTAGCTGTATGAACATGATGGAAGATTTATGGAAAATACATAACTTTGTATACTTAGAAGAGTCATTAGAGAATTGTACCTTACACTTTTTCTTTTTTTTTTTACAGATTTATTTATTTATAAAAGAGAAAGAGGGTGGGGAGGGGCAGAGGGAAAGAATCTCAAGCAGACTCCTTGCTCAGCTGAGCAGGGGGTGGGGCTCCATACCAGGACCTTGAGATTAGGACCTGAGCCGAAATCAAGAGTGGGAGGCTTAACCCAGGGAGCCACCCAGGCGCTCCTACTGTACAGTTTGTTTTTTTTTTAAGATTTTATTTATTTGACAGAGAGAGACACAGCGAGAGAGGGAACACAAGCAGGGGGAGTGGGAGAGGGAGAAGCAGGCTTCCCGCGGAGCAGGGAGCCCGATGCGGGGCTCTATCCCAGGACCCTGGGACCATGACCCGAGCCGAAGGCAGACGCCCAACAACTGAGCCACCCAGGCGCCCCTACTGTACACTATTTTTAAGATGAAGAAAGTAAAGGGGCGCCTGGGTGGCTCCGTTGATTAAGCCTCCGACTCTTGACTCTTGATTTTGGCCCAGGGCCCTGGCATGGAGCCCCACCTGGGGTTCCACGCTTAGCAGGGAGTCTACCATTCTCCTTTCCCTCTCTGCCCCTCCTGCTCACTTGCGCGCGCGCTCTCTCTCTCTCTCAAATAAATAAATAATTTTTTTTTAAATGGAACTAAGGCGTAAGGAGACCAAGAAATTTTTTTTTTTTTTGAGAGTGAGAGAAAGAAAGAGATCACGAGTGGGGAGAAGGGGCAGAGACAGAGGGAGAAGCAGGCTTCCCGCCCAGCAGGGAGCCTGATGTGGGGCTTGATCCCAGGACCCCGGGATCATGACTTGAGCTGAAGGCAGACTCTTAAGAGACTGAGCCACCCAGGCGCCCCGAGACCAAGAAATTTACCCAAGGTCACTCAACCAGTGAAATAGATCACAGAGCGCTCCCTTTTCTGACACATTGTATCATCTCTAAGATGAACTGTGGTAGATGATACTATGACACTATCTTGAGAGTTTAAACTTCTGATGAAGAATTCTTGTAGATTAGTCGAGGTTCTAGTAACCAGAATTTAAGGATTTTGGGGGAGGGGTACAGATGAATGCATTGGAAAATAGGCAAAACATAACTACAGCACTCCCTCAGTTCTCACCTTCTCTTATGTGTTTTCTTCCTACCAAATCACCTGGTAGTCTCACTGCATTGTTTAGTTCTGTAACAAAGTAATTTGGTAAACTCATACTGTAAGACATTTGGGACTTATCCCTCTAGAGTGTATTGGTTTGAGAAATAAACACCTAAGAGAATTTTGACATTGATAAGTCAGCTGTTTGTTGGGGTAGAAGTTGTTTTGAAGAGGCTCTTCCTAGTGTCCAACTGGCATTAATTAGACAGTTACCTGTTTTGCCTCAGGTAAAATCTGCCAATCCATAGCTCTTTAAGACCATCTTACAATCTTACTACACAACTAGTCCCAATGAGGAAACTTCACAGATTTGTAGTATGATTTTACTTTAAGCAAACTTTACATATGAAAATCTATTCTTTTTTTTTTTTTTTTTAAAGATTTTATTTATTTGTTTGAGAGAGACAGCGAGAGAGGGAACACAAGCAGGGGGAGCGGGAGAGGGAGAAGCAGGCTCTCCGCAGAGCAGGGAGCCCGATGCGGGACTCGATCCCAGGACCCTGGGATCACGACCTGAGCCGAAGGCAGTCGCTCAACCGACTGAGCCACCCAGGCGCCCGAAAATCTATTCTTATTAGAAGGATTTAGCATTGGTTCTTTCAAAATAATGTTATATGATCTCTATAGTCTATCCCTTAAGTGCACATCATCCCATTTGCATTAAAAAATCAAGTGATGCTTAAAATTGTGATATGATGCAACTCTTCCAGAAAATATAGCTTGTTTGAGTTTTATTTTGTTTTGATCTATATCCATTAAGGAATGATTTAGTGAAAGAAAGTTATAGGTAACTCTCTGTAGGATAAATGGGGTATTTGTTTTTGTTTATGCTGTAGGATTGCTTTTTTTTTTAAAAGATTTTGTTTATTTGACAGAGAGAGAGACAGAGAGAGAACACAAGCAGGGGGAGGGGAAGAGGGAGAAGCAGGCTTCCCGCGGAGCAGGGAGCCCCATGCGGGGCTCCATCCCAGGACTCTGGGATCATGACCTGAGCTGAAGGCAGACGCTTAACGACTGAGCCACCCAGATGCCCTTGATTGCCCTAGGACTGCTTTATTGGCCTTACATCCTAGCTATTTTTCTGGCAAGCTTTAGTGAGTCATGATAGCTCAGTCAAATACATATATACATACACTATATAGAGATATATATAGACATATATATATAGTTTACATATTTATATGTATGTTTATACATCTGTATATATAAATCTTATTTTCTCAGTGTGTCCTGCCCACCTCTATATCCCCTCCCCCATTTTAAAGCCTCTGCTTTTAATTTCTCTGCTATACGTCTCCCTTTTAATGTCCCTCAGCTAGAATTCAGTATGAAGTAGAAAGGACAAAAAAGAAGAAAGGATGCCCAAAGACACAAGTTTATACATATATATTTTTTGTACACAGTGTTATCAGGATTTTTATATTATACATAAAAGTCTTGGATTTCAGCTTCTTGTGCCTAGCAACAGAATGAACAGAAATACCTTAAACAGACTCCATTTTCAGGATCCTTTCATTTTCAGTGTCCCTTTACCCTACTGGCATGTAAAGTATATAATATATAATAGCAGTAGTCAACAGTAAAAACTTTTCTATATTCCCCAATCCTTGCTTTTTTTTTTTTTTTTTTAAGATATAAGGCTAAGTCACAATCCTCAAGTAGTTAGAATTTCTATTTATTAGAGAAATTTGGCTACTCCTTTCCTCTCTCCTTTTGGCTTTCCCTTGAACATTGTTATTTTCCATTGGTTTCTCTTACATGTTCTTGGCTAAGCTCCATTACCCTGCTGTTGAACCCAACAGTTTTCTAGTTTCCATGTGTGTAGTTAAGATTAGCATATACACAAGGAGGGATGAAGAGATACCAGAGAATGAGTAAGTTACAATGAGAAATGGGAGATGTTTTACTTTTTATTTACCTTCTACCTAAGAGCAGAAAAGAAGAGTGAAAGAGTTATGCTGATATGATGGAAATTCAGTAGGTTAGATTCATCCTCATTTCAGCCATGATATATATTTATAGAATGAAATTAAACTAATACTTTGCTCCCCCAGACCTCAATTTTGCCATCAGTAAAGTATCTTGTGTTATCTTCCTCATTGCGTGGCGTATCTTTCTGTCCAGTCACTAGGGATCCTCAGAGTCAATATTTTTTTTTTTAAGATTTTATTTATTTGATATATTGAGAGCACAAGCAGGGGGAGTGGCAGGCAGAGGGAGAAGCAGGCTCCCCGCTGAGCAAGGAGCCCGATGGCGGCACTCGATCCCAGGACCGTGGGATCGTGACCTGAGCCGAAGGCAGACACTTAACCAACTGAGTCACCCAGGCGTCCCCTCAGAGTCAATATTGACTTGACTTTATCCCTAGTACCCCATATCAACCAGGATTTATCCGTTTCATCTCTCCAGGGATTCACATCTCTGCCTTCCTTTTCCTTTTTTAACTGCTACTGACCTAGTCCACATTCTCATCTTCTCACCTGGAATGCTGTAGTAGCCACTTGTCTGAATATTCAACCTCCAGTCCTGTCTCTCACCTAGTATTTTTGTTTGTTTGTTTTATGTTGTTGGCTAGTTACCAGAGTGATGGGGTTTTTTGTTTGTTTTTTTTAATAGATTTTATTTATTTGAGAGAGAGAGAGCATGAGCAGAGTAAAGGGCAGAGGGAGAAGCAGACTCCCTGTTGAGCAGGGAGCCCGATGGGAGGCTTGATCCGATGTGGGGCTCGATCCCAGGACTCCAGGATCATGACCTGAGCCGAAGGCAGATGCTTAATGACTGAGCCACCCAGGCACCCCAGTGGCGAGTTTTTTTGGTGGTAAAATGCTCATAAAATTTACCATTTTAACCATCTTAAATTTAATGTACAATTCAGTGGCATGAAGTACAGTCACAG